GTCTATCTATCTATCTGTCTATCTATCTATCTATCTGTCTGTCTGTCTGTCTGTCTGTCTATCTGTCTCTCTGTCTATCTATCTATCTATCTATCTAAAAACATTAGATAGATAGATAGATAGAAGTGTAAACACTGTTTCAAAAGGTAAATACAATTATTTGTACTCAGTGTAACTGAGTCTTAATCTTAAAAAACATGCTTACAATTTATCATGAAACAATCCGTTTTACTTCTATAATATGACATGTCTCAATAAAACTGGTCAATAAACAAGAAAAAAAAGGTCACAACTTGATTTGAAAAAGATTTGGGTGGTGAAAACTGTCTGAATATTACAGGTGGATATAAAATAAAAATGAATTGTTGACGTCAGCTGAAAAAGAAAGTCGACTGAGAGATTTTAATGAAAGATTAGGAAGACAAATATTCATGTTTTAAAATAACATGCACTTGTACTGATTTGAAATGCATGGCCGCTTAGAACTTCTGTAGAATATGACAGGTGGATATAAAATAAAAATGAATTGTTGACGTCAGCTGAAAAAGAAAGTCGACTGAGAGATTTGAATGAAAGATTAGGAAGACAAATATTCATGTTTTAAAATAACATGCACTTGTACATCAGTCAAAACAAGACCTGGAAGTCGTAATAAGAAGGTAATAGGGCTGCACTCTTTTGCTCATCAAGGCTGCATTTATTTGATCCAAAACACAGAAAAAAATGTAAAAATGTGAAATATTATTACGATTTAAAATAACTGTTTTCTATGTGAATATCTGTTAAAATGTAATTTATTCCTGTGATCAAAGCTGTATTTTCAGCATCATTACTCCAGTCTTCAGTGTCACATGATCTTCAGAAATCATTCTAATATGCTGATATGCTGCTCAAGAAACATTTCTGATTATTATCAATGTTGAAAACAAGTCTTCACTCTAACTTTTGATCAATTTAATGGGTTTTTGCTGAATACGAGTATTAATTTCTTTCAGACAAACCCCAGTCGTTTGAACAGTAGCTCTGTGCATCATGTGTTTCTGTGTGTCTGTAGAGAGCTGTGATTCTCCGCTGGTTTCCGCTCTGCCTCAGTCGGCCTTCACGAGTTCATCAGAGCTGTCCAACAGTCACGGGCCGGGCTTCGCCAAACTCAACCGCAGAGACGGTAATTCAACACCTTCAATCATTATTCACTCTTCTGCTTCTGCTTTGACACCAATCTGTATTGTACAGTATAAAGCGCTATAGAAATAAAGGTGACATTTAAGTTATTGGAGTTAAGTTAACTAAAGCTAAAATTATTAAAGGAAATGTTGTTACCTGAAATAAACATTAACTGAAATATAAAACACATTTTATTTCAGCAGTTGCCAAGGCAAAATTTCCCATCTTAATTTAGTTCAACTTGATGTACTAAAATAACAAAAATTTTAATAAAAATGAATAAAAACTATATAGACATTTAAAAATCTACTAAAATTACTACAACTACTACAATACTACAACTTTAAATTGAAATGAAAACAGAAATATTAAAATAAAAATTGATTCATAATATTAATAACTATAATAGTATCACAATAATACTAAAAAAGTATCATTAAAAAAGTGATATAAGTAAAGCACATTGTTTTTTTAATCAGTGTTATTTTAGATATTTAGAGACAATTTTAGATCACCAAGACACTATTTTAGTTTTTGTTTATTTTCTGAATTAGATGTTATTTGTAGTAAAAATTTTTAGTAATTTTGTATAGTGTTTTTTTTTCCATTATTATTATTATTATTATTATTATTTTAAACATGTCTGTATAGTTTTTATACATTTTTATTTATTAGTTTTAGCTTATTTAGTTTTGTTAAACTAAATGAAAATGAAAAATGTTGCTCTGGCAACTATATATATATGTGTGTGTGTGTGTGTGTGTGTGTGTGTGTGTGTTTTATTTCATTTCATTTCATTTCATTTAACATTTAGTTCAAGTAATAAAAGTGTTTAAGGTTTTAGTTTAGTTTTAACTCTTATAACCCTGATTCTACACTGAAAAAAACAATGTTACATTTACTTAATTTTTCTTTTGCAAGTTTTTGTACACATATTTTTAAAGAAAAATGTAAATATGGAATGAAGTCAAATCTACTTAACTAAGTTATGTAAAATTAGCAAAGAGAATAAGTAAATGTAACGTGACCAGTTAAAGTTTGATGAGTAATTTCTACTTAATTATTTGAAGATTATACTCTGCAATATCTCTTCATGCACATTTTACTCAGTCACGGTTTTTAAACTTTACTCATACAATTTAGCCAATTTAGCAGCCATGCTGTTAGAGAATGTGGTTCACTAGAGAGTGTGGAACACAGAGACGTCAATGCTTTCAATGCTTGACGGTAACAATATGTGGATAGTGTTTGAGAATGAATGGGTCATTTTGAGTAGAAAATGAACTCTAGATGTCACAAAACAGCAGGTTTTTAAACCAACCAACAAAAGCAACCATAAAAGTGACGTGACGTGTGGCCAAGTATGGTGTCTCATACTCAGAATTTGTGCTCTGCATTTCACCCATCCAAGTGCACACACACTGCAACTAGAGCTGGGTGGTATGACTGTATATATCATTACAGTGAAATAAAGTGTCTATCGTTAGAGATTTTGCTATATTGTGTATTCCGCGGTATGCAGATATATCTGAGTAACACAGTACTGCTTAAACATTATAGACCTTTTGAGTGATAAGGAAACATGCATGAATGAGAAAATAAAGAGTGGGACGCACTTGGTAGAGTTATTAAGTGCAATAAGCAGTGAAAAAGAACTCAATGCGGTGCTCGC